ACAAGTGGACCAACTGACACCAACTGGACCAGTGTTCTGTGAACCCAACCAAGGAACTGACTTGGTTTTGTGACTCCCCCCTTTCCCAGGAACTGATTCAGTGCATGAAGACAGCTTTGACAACCCTAGGATTTCATCCCAGACCAATCAGCAGCACCCATCCGCTTGCCCCCCGTCTGCCAAATCATCTTTTAAAAACCCTGGCTTCTAAAGTCTTGCGGTGACGTCTCTGAGAAACATTTCCCATCTTCCTTACTCAGCTGCCTTGCAATAAACTCCTTCTTCTTTATACTATCTGCTGTCTCAGTGTTCAGCTCTACTTGGATAGCAGACAAGAGCCCAGTCAGGTGGTAACACTGTTTTATAGCATTTTTTGGATACATAATATTTGCATATATTTATGAGGTACATGTGATATTTTGTTACATGTACAAAGTATGTAATGATCAAATCAGGGTAGAGTATCCATCACCTTGAGTATTTGTCATTTCTATGTGTTGGTAACATTTCAAGTCCTCTCAGATTCTAGCTATTTCAAAATTAACTGTAGTCACCCTACTCCGATATCAAAACTTAGAATTTATTCCATCTAACTGTATGTTTGCACCCATTAATCTACCTCTCTTTATCTCCCCTCCCATCCTTCCCAGCCTCTGCTATTATTCTACTTTCTACCTCCATGAAATCAATGTGTTTCGCTCCCACATGGGTAAGAACACAACACACTTGTCTTTCTGTGCCTGATTTCCCTTAACATGGGAACCACCAGTTCCATCCAAGTTGCTGCAAATGACATGATATACATGGGAGTGCAGGTATTCCTCTGATACACTGATTTATTTTCCTTTAGAGACCCAGGGACTGCGGGATCATATGGTAATTCTGTTTTTAGTTTTCTGAGAAATTTCCAAACTGTTTTCCATAGTGCCTGTACTAATTATTATAACATTCCCACCAAACAGTCTACAACAGTTGCCTTTTCTTCACACTCTCACCAGTAGTATATTTTTTGTCTTTTTATTAATAGCCATGCTAACTTGGGTAAGATATCTCGCTGTGGTTCTGACTTACATTTCCCTGATAATTAGTGATGTTGCACATTTTTTTGCATACCTGTTGGCCATTTTTATGTCTTCTTTTGAGAAATGTCTATTCACATCCTTTGCCCACTTTTTAATGGAATTGTTTTTCTTACTGTTGGCTTCCTTGCATATTCTGGATACTAGTCCCTCGCTGGATGCATCTTTCGCAAACATTTTCTCCTACCCAATAGGCTGCCTCTTCATTCTGTTGTTTCCTTCACTATGCAGAAGCCTTTTAATCTAGTCTCATTTGTCTATTTCTTTTAATATAGTCCCATTTGTCTATTTCTTGTTTTTGTTGCCTGTGTTTTTGAGGTCTTAGCCATAAAATCTGTTAGACCGATATCCTCAAGTGTTTCCCCTACATTTTCTTCTAGTAGTTTTATAATTTCAGGTCTTAAGTCTTTAATCCACCTTCAGTTGAATTTTGCATATGGTAAGAGACCAAGAGTCAGGTTTCATTCTTCTGCATATGGAGATCCAATTTTTCCAGCATCGTTTATTGAAAAGGGTGTCCTTTTCCCAGTGTACGTTCTTGTTGCTTTTGCAAAAATATCAGTTGGCTGCAAATATGTGAATTTATTTCTGCGTTATCTGTTTTGTTCCATGGGTCTATGTGCCTCTTTCTATATCAATACCATGCTATTTTGGTTACAACAGCCTTTGAAGACAGGCAGTGTGATGCTTCTAGCTTTTTCTGTTTGCTCAGGATTACTTTGGCTATTTGGGCTCCTTGTTGGTTCTGTAGAAAATTTAGGATTGTTTTATTTCCTTGAAAAATGACGGTTATTTTAGGCCGGGTGTGGTGGCTCACGCCTGTAATCTCAGCATTTTGGGAAGCCGAGGCGGGTGGATCACAAGGTCAAGAGTTCAAGACCAGCCTGGTCAAGATGGTGAAACCCTGTCTCTACTAAAAATACAAAAATTAGCCGAGCGCGGTAGCAGGTGCCTGTAATCCCAGCTACTCAGGAGGCTGAGGCAGGAGAATCGCTTGAACCCGGGAGGCAGAGGTTGCAGTGAGCCGAGATTGCGCCACTGCACTCTAGCCTGGGCAACAAAGCAAGACTCTGTCTAAAAAAAAAAAAAAAGAAAAAAGAAAAATGACTGTTATTTTAATAGGAATTGTACGGAATATGTAGATTACTTTGGGCAATATTGTCATTTTAATGATGTTAATTTTTCTGATCCACAAGCATGGGATGTCTTTCCATTTGTTTTTGTGCTCTTCAATTTCTTTCATCAGTGTTTTGAAATCTAACTTTTTTTAAATGACGAATTTGAAAACCTATAATTTTTACTTTATTGTAAAGTTGTGACTGGAAAGTTGTTTTAAAATCTGTTTTTAAACTTATAAAAATTATGTCAAATTGCTCCTAAGAAAGGATCAGTAGAGATTTAGTTCTTATAGTATTTCCTCGACTATATTTTGAAAATTAGATTTTGAAAATAAAAGTTTAACGTATTATTATTAATTCTTCGTATTTACATACTTAAAGCTCAGGCAGAAAAGTATTACAAGCTTTCAGTGATGTCTGCAATATAGATGGGAAAGGTGAATGCAAAGAGTAACACATATTCTATAGCAACAGTAAACACAGCTATTTCTGCTGCCCCTCAGCTACCAAAAACTCTTAAGTCTCCAGATTTAAAACCTCCGGGTTCATTCACTCATTCAGCCATTTATTTTTGTGAGCATCTGTTAGGCAGTCATGTGGCTATGCTAATCCTATCTGACTCCTCTCTCCTTTGTCCTTCAAACGCCATTAGCGGCCAAGTCCCATTAATCTGGGCATGATCCACTTCTTCCCCTTTCCAAATTTCTGAAGTACAGGTCAAGCCTTCATTAACCACTGAATATGCACCAAATGGAAGATTATGCTGTCATTAAAACTACTCATAAAAAGTATACAATGAAGAAAATCATTCAAGTAAAAGGCAAGAACAGAAAACTATACAAAATATTATATAATCACATCAATGTAAAAAAAGAATTTGGCATGAAAAAAGTGAAGAAAAAAATATACTAAGATCTCTAGCGGATGGGTACTCTGCCTTTACTTTTCTGCATTTTGCAGATTTCCTATAATAAGCAGTTATTATTCTAGAAGAAAATATAAATGAGCTTTATTTTTAAAACTATTTTAGTTAGATAACAAATTATTCCTGAGGTTCAGAAGTGCATATCAGAAACAACCAAAATAAACACTCAAGCATGCAGTAGTCTTAATCCTTTAACCTAATTATTTAAAAACTAAAAGGTACTCATCCATGGCCCTTACTGCACTTCTACATGCCTAGAAAACCTCAGCTCTTAATGTTCCAGTGAGACTCTGATGTCAGCTTTCATAAAATAAGTTGTTCTTACCAACTATTCCACATTATTTAAAACTTCAGTGATTTGCTTTCTCCTAAACTCTAATTCTCATTTTTCCTTCAAAAGCGTCCTAGATTTGCCTTTCCTATGACCACTGGTACCCACTGGTACCTGCAATCCTCTTTCTCTAGGAATCTACCCTTAATTCTAGCACAAAACTAATCTTTAAACACTGCTTTCATAGAATCATTTGTCTTTTTGAAATGTGCAGTAACTTCCACTTGACTCAAATCTATAAGCCTATTGTTGAACCACAAATCTCCATTCCATGTTACATCTATTTCTTCAAACCAGGCAGCGCTACACTGTTCTTTAGATTTACACCAGGCCTACTCTGTTTTCATTGTGTTATTCCCAATTTTCCACATAAAATGTCCTTTTTCTGGCCCCTGTTCATCTAAAGGCCAAGCTTGAGGCCCAGTCCAAGTCCAACCTCTTCCATGAATCATCTCTTTAAGTATTCCAGCCTATACTAATAGCTCTTCTGACTCCCTTTTGCACTTACAGTTAATATCACAAAGTATAACAATTGCTCTGTGACCACTGAGTATAGATTGGTTTTGTTTCCCCAAAGAAGGTACCAGACAAATAAGGTACCAGAAAGCAGAGACCAACAGGCCCAAGGAAAACGCTAGACACATAAACAATTAATACTAAATGAATAAATTTTTCTACAGTCAAAATACTAATGCTCCAAAACATATTTTAAGTCACCTTATTTGAAGTTATGTGGGCCAAAAAGTAAATCTGTCTCACATTTTATTTTTATGCTGCCAAAATTTAAAGTCTATTACTTGGTAGAAAAAAATAATCAGACAGGAAAGTTTAATTTTCTTCTTGCTTCATTTTATCTACTGAAACCAGGATTTTAGGAATAAAGTAGAACTATACATTTCTCCAATCTCTTCTGCTTCTTTCAGAAGTATCTCCAAGTCAGAAGATATAAAAAATACCTTACTTTCCTTAATTATATGGTAATATTTTTTGCCTGTTACAAAAAGAACAACAAAAAGACATGCTCAACACACAACTGTATGACAGTAAGTCTTTCTGATCAACTCAGGAAAGAATTCTTGAACTACTAAATCAGCTTTGTTCAAAGAAAAAGTGCAGGATCTAGCGAAGTAATGTACTTGCTCACCGTATCACTGAGCATGCCCAATTCTTCCTATTCTTTCCTTTCCCAAGTTTAAGTCCAGGGGCTCTAAAGATGTACCCTTCCCATTATTCTACCAAATCTGAACATAAATTCAACCCAACTGGAGACATTAAATTCTTCAGGTTTTCAAGAGTCACAGCATTAAGAGTCTAGACAGCCTTGAGATAAGTACCAGGTTTATACAATGTAAGTTAATAAAATAAATGAACACAAGAACTCTTTCATTCAGTGTAGATTACCAACTATTTGCACACACGCTTAAGCAAGACTAGCAAAGTAGAAAAGTATTTTGCTAGGAGTATTTGTTTGCGTCCCAAGAAAATCTAGAAAAGAACATCTTTTCAATTGACATGTCAATAAACTACTATTTTATATGTTAAGCTACCTGAAGCATGCCTCCCCTGATTCTGAGGCATTCTTTGGAAGAGATCATGGTTGTATTCATAATATCTGTATTCTTCATGTGTACGATCTCCAAGTGGCCGCTTTCTCTGACCATCAAAAAAATTGTCTGAATAATAATATCGGGAACCAGAGTCTCCATTTTCAACAGCAAAATTAACTTCCGTTACAAATGACTGAGAAGAGCCATACTCTCTAGGAACATCTGCTAGGCTTCTGGCAAGATAAGAAGGTGCAGATAATCTGTTGCTTTCTCTTCTCATTATTTCATGAGGTGTTCTTTGAATTGGACTTCTAAGGAAACTCTGGTTTCTTGAAACTACCCCATCTCCAGAAGCTGAAAAAGCATTAGGACTTGAATCTGGAAGACAGATATCAGTTCGTCTGGGAATTGTTGGACCATGCCGGATGAATGAAGGCATAAGATCTACAATGAAACAAAGGATATAATTACCCTTTTAATAAGTAACAAAAGCAGTTTTCAAAAGTTGTTCGTGTCTAAAACCCCAAAATCAAAATGTCAGTAAACTTAAGAAAACACAATTTTGGGCCGGGCACCATGGCTCACACCTGTAACCCCAGCACTTTGGGAGGCCAAGGCGGGTGGATCACAAGGTCAGGAGATTGAGACCATCCTAGCCAATATGGTGAAAACCCGTCTCTACTAAAAATACAAAAAACATAGCTGGGCGTGGTGGCGCAGGCCTGTAGTCCCAGCTACTCAGGAGGCTGAGGCAGGAGAACTGCTTGAACCCAGGAGGTGGAGACTGCAGTGAACCGAGATTGCGCCACTGCACTGCAGCCTGGGCGACAGCGCAAGACTCCGTTTCAAACAAAACAAAACAAAACAAAAAAACAACAAGGAAACACAATTTTGGCCGGGAGTGATGGCTCACGCTGTAATCCCAGTGCGTTGGGAGGCCGAGGCAGGCGGGTTACGAGATCAAGAGATCCGAGACCATCCTGGCCAAAATGGTGAAACCCCCCGTCTCTACTAAAAATACAAAAATTAGCTCGGTGTGGTGGCGCGGGCCTGTAGTCTTAGCTACTCAGGAGGCTTAGGCAGGAGAATTGCTTGAACCTGGGAGGCAGAGATTGCAGTGGGCCGAGGTTGTGACACTGCACTCCAGCCTGGGCGACAAAGTGAAACTCTGTCTCAAAAAAAAGAAAAAAAATCAGTAGCTCTTTCTTCTCTTGGAATTACCTAGCACCAGGAGGGTAATCAAAAGCTAGAAAGCTACAAATTCAGGTAGAAATTGAAAATAAAAAGCTCTCATTTCAAAGAGGCACAAAAATGCTGAATCGGCTCAAAAACACCAAGCCGGAAACTATGTAATTATAATTCAAAATAGCAGATGATGGTAGAACAATGGCTTTTAGGATATAGTACTTTTATTTTTATTTTTGAGACAGAGTCTCACTCTGTCGCCAAGCTGGAGTGCAGTGGCGCTATCTTGCCTCACTGCAACCTCTGACTCCCTGGTTCAAGCAATTCTCCTGCCTCAGCCTCCAGAGTAGCAGGGATTACAGGCACGCGCCACTATGCCTAGCTATTTTTTGTATTTTTAGTAGAGACGGGGTTTCACCATGTTGGCCAGGATGACCTCGACCTCCTGACCTCGTGATCCGACAATCTCGGCCTCCCAAAGTGCTGGGATTACAGGCGTAAGCCACCGCGCCGGGCCAGGACATAGTACTTTTAAATACGAAACTTGAAAACAGCGTAAAATATTCCTAGTGAGAAAGCAAATACCTTTAAAACAAGAAAAAATCTGAAAATGGAGACACCCTTACTATTCATTAACTAAACAACACTGGAGACATTCATATTAATAAGCTTCAGAAACTAACACTGGACAGAAGCAAATTATCCGAATAAACAAGGCTCAACAGCTCATGTAACAACAAAACTATTAATGATTTCAAGTAATGTTTGATAAACTTTATTTGTAGCAAACCAGCAAGCTATGGCTTAAAAACACCGAAAAAGCTAACCTCATGTGTAACTGAAAGCCAAGTCGTTAAAAAAAAAAAGTTTAAAAATCAGGTTTCAAGTTACTGGTGTACTCAACAGACATAAATTTTGTTGATAGTATTGCAAGTACTACAATATACCTGGAAGGCTGACAATGTGTTATAATGGAAAAGCATACTCTCCAACTGTGTGATCTTGGGAAAATACTAGAAATCCAGCTTCCCAATTACAATTTGAGGTAACGCTTAAGTCACAAGGTTACCACCAGCTTCCAAGAAGGAAACTTACGCAAAGGGCCCGGGACACTGTGTGAGCAGCAAAATACCAGCTCTTTGCCTCACAAATGTCGTGAACACACAAGAATTAAAAATTCAAGAGACTCAACTCAAAAAATCAAATACTTAAGAAAAGCAGCGGGGGAGAGGAGGTGGGGGGGGGGGGTGGGATACACCCCATTACAAAAACTTTTCGGGTGGAGAGATTCTCTAATGATAGAAATCACTTTGAGTTACCTTTTTGGAATCTCACGAATATAGCCAAATAGAAAGGTTTTGGGGTCTCTGCTGTGGGATGTAAGAGTGGTGAGCCTTTGGGTGGCGGCTCCAAGAGCGACGGTGTGCTTTTCACCTTGTCAACTCTGCATCCGGCAGCAGGACTAAGGAATTCTGCCCCAGAATTCGCACAACTTGCAGCACGGTCAAGAGATACCCGCAATGTTTGCAAACATAAGGCACATCACCACGCATCCAGAAGAGGAAAAAGGTGTCCCTGTCTCATCACTTTTACTCCTATAGCATTAGGTGATAAGCAATTTACGTGTTTCCTAGTCTCTCTTCCAGGACTCAAAACCAACAACCCTCTCTGCCAGGCGGGGCGGGGCAGTATTTATTTTTAGGGGGTGCCTATTTGGCTGGGTTGGGAGGGGGGAACTAACCCAAGTTTCTTACTCGTTATAGTCTTTCAATCAACGAATACCACGTTAGGCACAAGAAAATCTCAAAACCAGTATTTCACAGCGACCAGGGAAGAAGGAGAAGCCCTGGGGAGCCGCTGGCGCCCCCGCCCAGGTCTCCGCAGCCCGCGGCCGCCCGGGCCAGGTGTGGGCGCGCCCAGCCTGACACTCACTCCGAAGCAGAGGCGACGTCTCCTTCTTCACGTACTTCCCCTGCACCTCGGCCGGCTTGGACACTTCGTTTTTGGTTTTCTTTCGGGACAGCATCCTTCACGAGGAGGCCCGAGGCCGCGCTGAGCTGCCTCCCTAGGGATCGGCGCCGGGCGCCGGCCGTCTCCGCCGCCACCTCCGCCGGCGCCGCCGCCTCCTTCCCTCTCGAGCCGCCGCCGCCGCCTCCGCCTCCGCCTCCGCCTCCGCCGCCGCCTGTCCGGAGCCCGGGATTGCCCGCAGGGACTGCCGCATGTTCAGGGCGCTAATAGCGCCGGCCGCCGCTCAGTCGCTGGTCAGTTCCTTCCCGGAAGTCGGCCCGCTCTGCGACGCTGCCCGGGGACGCCTTGAGAAGAGCCCAGCGACGCCGGTCCAGGGCCAGGGCCATGGTCCACCGCGGGCCGCCGGGTAACCGCTACCACCACCGCCGCCGCCGCCTACATCCCGTAAACTTTCCCCGCGGCCGCTGGGAATTCTGGGAAGTTCGGCGCCGCGCGGGCCGCCGCCGCCCCTCCCCCACCGCGGCTCCGGGCGCGGCTCGGGCGCCGGAACTCGGTTGCTGGCGCTTTGGGCTAATCCGCCGGCCCCGCGGAGCCTCGGCAGTTCCTCAGCGAGAAGCAGGCCCCGCTGACCACGAAGATGAAGGACGACGGCTGTAGTGCTGAATGCGAGAGCTTGTTACACGCGAATGTCGTGGAGCCCACTCTCCACAGAATTTTGCTTTTGCACCCCCTTGGGATCTCAGGGTACGCGGTGACCTTCTTTCCCCCAGACGTTGTACCCTGTTTGAGAGCATTACTACGTAGGGTGTCCTGGGCTGGTGAATTCAGTTCCCCAAATAATGCAGAATGCTAACCCTGTCCTCCAGGCTAGTGCTACACCAAATACTGTAATCTGTTCTGTTGGAAACGTTAATGCAGATTAACTAGAAATAAGTTGATCCTCTACTGAGTATCAGGTAGTGCGTTTTTCTAATAAAATGAAAAAGTGGAAGAATGCAAGATGGAATTTCCAGTACCTTTTAAAGATACATTTGATGTTAGCATATTACAATTATTTTATTGCATCATCATTATCATTAGTATGATTAATAGCCTCATATTTCCTCTTGACGTTATGTGTTACGATCTTGGAATTTTTTTTTTTTTTTTTTTCTGAGACAGAGTCTTGCTCCGTCGCCAGGCGCCAGGCTGGAGTGCAGTGGCGCAATCTCGGCTCACTGCAACCTCCGCCTCCTGAGTTCAAGCAATTCTCCTGCCTCAGCCTCCTGAGTAGCTGGGACTACAGGCGTGTGTCACCACGCCCAGCTAATTTTTGTATTTTTAGTAGAGGCAGGGTTTCACCATATTGGCCAGGATGGTCTGGATCTCTTGACCTCGTGATCCGCCCACCTTGGCCTCCCAAAATGCTGTGATTACAGGGGTGAGCCACCGTGCCCGGCCACGATCTTAGAATTTTGAGGACTTTAACCACTACAAGTCAGGACCCGGAATTTTGTATCTAAAATAATAGACTCTACCTCCTTCTATATAACTTAGCAAGACTGCCAAATGTACAGGATAGCATTTGGAATATAAGATTAGATTCATCCCTGGGTGACCAAATTAAGGCTTTAATAATGGAGAATGCTTTTCCTGAGATCTAAAACATCTCACAGGAGATCTAAGACGTATATCACGATTAACAAAAGACATGGAATTTTTTTACCACATAAGATTAAGAAAATGGTCCAATTTTGTTTTGCCATAAACAAACAAATGAGATATTTGATCTAGTGTCTGTCTCCATATGCTGTTATGTCCCCTTGGTGCAGATCTCCAACTATTCATTCATTAACCAATAAGTACTGATCACCCACTAGGCTAGGCACTGTGCTAGGTACTTGTGATACAGCAATAAGCAACACAGACAAAAATACTGTCATGGGAAAGAGAAAAAAATGAAGAAAGTAAGCAAAACATACTGTGTTAGATAAGTGATGAAGTGAAAATAAGAAAAGACTCGCATTTTTAGGAAGGATGATGGAAAGATGAGAGAAGGCTCATGAGAAGGTGACACTGGAGTTGAGTGACAAAGTGAGGAAATTGGCCATGCTGCTATCTGGAGGAACAGTATTCCAGGCAGAAAGAACAGCAAGTGCAAAGTCACTGCAAGTGGCTGTGTTCCTGGCAGATTGGAGGAACAGTAAGAGGGTTTATGTAGTGGAAAAGAGGGCGCGATGCAGCTAGAGAGCAACAGTAGTCACGGCACCTAGGGCTTTGTAGGCCATTGTAAGGAATGTCACTGTGAGCAGAGGAGTGACATGATCCCAGTTAATGTTTTTTTTTTTTTTTTTGAGTCGGAGTTTCGCTCTTGTTACCCAGGCTGGAGTGCAATGGCGCGATCTCGGCTCACCGCAGCCTCCGCCTCCTCGGTTCAGGCAATTCTCCTGCCTCAGCCTCCTGAGTAGCTGGGATTACAGGCACGTGCCACCATGCCCAGCTAATGTTTTGTATTTTTAGTAGAGACGGGGTTTCACCATGTTGACCAGGATGGTCTCGATCTCTTGACCTCGTGATCCACCCGCCTCGGCCTCCCAAAGTGCTGGGATTACAGGCGTGAGCCACCGCGCCCGGCCCCAGTTAATGTTTTAATAGGACTGCTTTGGATGCTGAGTTGAGAGTGGTCAATGGAGATAAGGGCAAAAGTAGGGAGATCAGTCAGAAGTTATTGCTGACTTGGACCCAGATAATAATAGGTGGAGGTAAGAGGACATATTTTGGACATATTTTAAAGAGAGCCAACCAAATTTGCTGACATTGAATATGGAGTGTGAGAGTATCACTCACTTCCATGGGTATAAAAATCATAAACAGAATTGGAGCTTACTTACTAGAAGCAGAATGTACTCTAAGAGAAACATTAGAAAGACAGTTGCTTGTTCCTGTGGTTCAGAAAAAAGGGCAAGTTCTAAAGCGTTGATAGTGTGCAGGGAGAAGAAAGAATGATGAAACTTAAGTGAAAACACAATGGGGTTTTGTCACCCGTTCAGGGTATGAAGGTGGGAGATGAAGGGGGAGCCAAAGAAGTGCCAGGTTTCTGCCCAAGGCTTACCTCAGAGAAGGACAAAAGGATGTTAGTACCTTGTTAATAAAAGCAACTTTTCACACCTGGAGTTTTCCCAGAGCCTAAAATACGGGACACCTTTCACATACATGGAGGAAAGAATCCTGGAATTTTCTAGTTGAAAAAGAATTCTGAGGTGGCCTAGGCTCATCTCATTGACATCGAAAATAAACTAAAAAATTAAGTTTTTTTGCCTCAGATTACATTCCTGGTTAGTGGCAGAATAGCATCAGAACTGGAGTTTTCAATTTCTTTTTTTTTTTTTCCCCTGAGACATAGTCTCGCTCTGTTGCCCAGGCTGGAGTGCAGTGGCTCCTGCAACCTCTGTCTCCTAGGTTCAAGATATCCTCCTGCCTTAGCCCCCTGAGTAGCTGGGATTACAGGCACATGCCACCACATCTGGTTATTTTTTGTATTTTTAGTAGAGATGGGGGTTCCTCATGTTGGCCAGACTGGTCCAGAAATCCTGGCCCCAAGTGATCTGCCCACCTCAGCCTCCCAAAGTGCTGCCATTATAAGCATAAGTCACTGTGCCAGCCTCAGTTTCCATTTGGGGCTCTTTTCTGCTACAGAACATTCAGAATCCCACTAATGTGAGTCCAGACTGTTTCTAACATAGTTGTTTTGAAAGCCATCTATGTTCCTTACGAAGTACTCCCTTTTACAATGCTATTTCATTTCTTTGAATTGTAGCAGAGAGAAAGCTTTAATTAGGTACTCTACTTGACACCTAATTTGCCTTTTTATCAAGGAAGGTACATTCCAGAATCAATAATCTGCAGGCAGCATTTGTGATAGCAATGCACAGCAAATATGTGAACTTTGAATATGAATCCTTAAATGTAAAAGCTTTGAATTCATGTCTATTTCATAGAAATTCCTTGACTTCTGAGAATTTTTATTAAGGAATTCAGATTTGCTATAGTTCTACAGAGCTGTAATTCTCCAGACACTGCTGTCAATAATGCTAATACTGCATTATATATAGAGATTTTTTTTTCCCTTCCAGTTGTGAGAAAACTGGCAATTAGGTAGTTTCTCATGTTTTAACAACTCTTCTTTTTAAATTAATTTAGGATTAATGTTTATTTTAGTGAAACCTGTAGGGTATGACCCTGGACTAAACTCATAGCATTCTGAGTTCTTGGTTGTCTCATCTGAAAATGAAGAAAGTGAACCATTTGATTTCTAAAGTGTCTTTCAGTCCTAGAATTTTTCTGCCATGTAGGCAAAAAGGAATATGCAAAAATAAAAACTTAGTTCATAGGATAAGAGAAACATTGGTGATTTTCTTTCTTCAAAAAGTTTGTTTTTTGGTTGGGCAGAGTGACTTATGCCTGTAATCCCAGCACTTTGGGAGGCAGAGGCGGGCGGATCACCTGAGGTCGGGAGTTTGAGGCCAGCCTGACCAACATGGAGAAACCCCATCTCTCCTAAAAATACAAAATTACCTGGGCGTGGTGGTGCATGCCAATAATCCCAGCTATTCGGGAGGCTGAGGCAGGAGAATTGCTTGAACCTGGGAGGCGGAGGTTGCGGTGAGCTGAGGTCGTATCATTGCACTCCAGCCTGGGCAATAAGACTGAAGCTCCATCTAAAAAAAAAAAGTTTGTTTTAATTCAACTATTAAAGAAAATATTAAAATGTCAGCTTTATATAAAATCATCATTAGCATAAAAATAAAATTTCATACCAGATTGTTACTTTCAAAGACAGCCAAGGTCTTTATGCTATGTTGACTTCCTCTTGTTAGAAGCATGTAAAATTTTAAAGGGTGAACTGTTCAGTGAAAGATTATCCAAGAAAGACAACCAAAATGGAAATAAGCCCTACATATGGAGCTTCAAAAAAAAGAAAAAAGAAGAAAAGAGAGGAACTTCTAGTTTACTCTCCAACTCACTCTTCTTGTTCACATAGCAAGATAAACTTAATCTGGTTCAGGAAGAAGTAACAAGTGTGCCAAATTATGCCAATTATAGCTCTTCAAGTCTCCAACATTTTGCTATTAAAACATGGGAGGGGGCCAGGCGCAATGGCTCGTGCCTATAATCCCAGCACTTTGGGAGGCTGAGGTAGGTGGATCACGTGAGGTCAGGAGTTTAAGATGAGTGTGGCCAACATGGTGAAGCCCCGTCTCTACTAAAAATACAAAAATTAGCCAGGCATGGTGAAGTGCGCCTGTAATCCCAGCTACTTGGGAGGCTGAGGCAGGAGAATTGCTTGAACTTGGAAGGCAGAGTTTGCAGTGAGCTGAGATCATGCCACTGCACTCCAGCGTGGGCAACAGAGTAAGACTCCGTTTTAAACAATAAAATAAAATATGGGAGGGTAAATTCCTAAGTGTCCTTGAGGCAGGAACTTTGGTTGTTTCCTATGAAGGATAAGGGTATGTAATATCTACACAGCTCTGAAGATATTATATAATTGCTTAATATTAGCAATTTAGTTGGGTTTTCAAACTCCTCTTATGTAAGATGAATCATTCCCCAAGTAACACAGAAAATTAGTATTACAATTCTAGT